CCACTGGCTACTGTAAGAACAAACTGGCGAATGAGGTGCATCAAGAACCATCAACGAAACCTTATCAAGTGGTGTGAGCTGTTAAAGTGGGTCCGTTACGCCGTGATCGCCAAGAGAATTAAGGGTGACCTGGATAACGACTCAACCCTGACCAAGACATTACCCACGCAATTGTAACTCATGTTTATCCAACAATAATGATGTGTTATTTTATCTTTGTTTCTGTTTTGTTCGTGTGGGGTATTTGGTTAAGAAGGCTCCAGGAGAGTCATGCAATTTTCATATTAATAAATAGCATTGTCTACAAGACACCCTACTTTTCGTCAAGACATCTAACAAAAGGTCCTCTACACTACACTCATCGCCTTCAGCATAGACTGAGCAGGAGATAATGTGTTGGTCCTTAGTCTCCGAAGCTCATCTACGGGCATTTGTAGACACCCCTTCCCTGCAACGTCTGCTACACTACCAATGGAGCACTGCTCTAAGAATACACTATGGAAGGTACCACTGCTACTTGCGTGCACTGATATGTTCATAGATGGATTAATGGAAAGAGGGAGGTATGAATTACAGAGTGAAATTTAGGCTTTTGTATCTACAGGGCATTAATGATCCGCGTAGACTATGCAGGCGTACAAACAATGCTCCTTGGTGCATGCTATCGGCTTTGGAAGTGCTTACTCTGTAGGAGGCGAGGCGGACACAAGCTAGTATTTTGCCAGCTTGACAGAGACCATACCTCTTACCCCATTAAATAATAAACCAATAAGGCGTGTTTTAACTTAGCATGCATAATCGTATTCATCAGCTTACAGAATTTGTCTTATAACTCGTATGGAAGCTGTACGCAAAGTGCACTCTAATTGGACTGGAGTAAATTATCAAAGCATAGTAGTGTTTAAATAGAGTTAAACAACTAAAAATGTCTTATGTGATTCTACCTTAGGCACATCTCATTGCCACACGACTGATCCACCTGTCAGAATTGCAGCTGAATTTGGGGTTTAATACCGACAATGGGAGCTGCCCTTTCCCAAATACTCATTTAATTTATGAGTCGCCTAATTCGCACTCCGTTGATATCTGCCACATAGCAGATCTTGAACAAAAGTCAATTTGTTTACATTAGATTTAAAAGTAATGCGGATGATTGCATTTACATTTGGTTTGAACTATACAAACCCTTACCATTTTGCATTACAAGTGGTGGTGATGGTCAGCTAAGAGCAGAACCACGATATGGCAGGCATCATTGGCAACAATGATTCACAAATGGTCGTCTTTAAAAGGCTTACATCATTATCTATCATCTAACGGTTGAGGCTTTAACCTGGTGCAACTGC